CGTGATCTAGTTAAAAGGCCTTGACGTGATAGACTACCTCGGTAATCCTAAGACTAGTAGTGCGTGCGTCCAGCTGTCGCCAAAAGACCTTGAGTAAATGGAAGAAAACTATTCTTTCACCGAATAGACCAGCAAGCGAGAGCGAGAAGACGAATCGACTGGAACAATACTAGATTTATTCCTGATTCGATTGACAAAAAGACATGAATAAATATATACTTAACAAGACCACAACGCGCAAAGAATTAGCAAAATACGATTATATCCAAACTAGATATTCAGGATACGAAAATCGAATGTCTAAGTCACGAAAGCTTAAGATTTGTAGAATAAGAAAGAAGCAAAAATAAATATATGTACTGTCAACAATGTTCCAAAAATAACCTTCCATTGTTTTGTCACTCCTCTTCTCACATCTATCCTTATTTTACTGATCTGTATAGCCATATAGTTGAAAAATACATATTTGTCTCAAAGGTTGGATGGAATGTGTCAAGTTCGTCACGCCACACATTCAAGTTCTTGATTCTATTCTATTTGGAATTATAAGTGTACACTGTCATTGAGTTTTAAACTAAGACAAAATAATTGTTCACTAATCCGCAATTCTCTAAATGTCACATTACATTTTTCTATTTTTTAAAGATAAGAAGCGTTAGGATAAGAATTTCATGGACGTTGTTAAATCAGAAGATAGTTCAGATCATGAACTTATTTTAACATTTACATGAAGATATGTTGAAAATTCCTAGAAAGATATTTTATCCTGATTAAGTATCCCCAATAATGTTCATCTACGATATCATCAGACAGCAAATTGAGGACCTTCATACATTACTGAGAACATGCTATATTTTAGAACAAGAACACATGAACATTGATATTTGCACTTACCACATAAAGCATAAAGAATACGAGTATGATTGTGAAAACGAAATGAGAGGAATTCTTTTACTAGAATGTAACGGCTGTCCAATGCTTCCCACTTTTCACTAGTAGTTGTACAGTAAATCACTTCAAATCAGGACTAAGTTTCGTAAATCGGTTTTTAATGGTATTGGAAAATTCTGTAGTTTTTTTTATTACATTGTCTAGACAGAAACTAAATTACTTTCAAAATAATGATACAACAACTTGGAGTTACTAATCGATGAACAGATAAGGTTAGTTTAGAGAAAAAATCGGTCCAGTTATCTGATTTGGCTTTTTGCCAATTAAAATAAAAATCGTTTAGTTTCTACAACCAATATCAACCAGCTACATATTTGTATGACTAATGTAAATGAAGCGATGTGATTGATTATCACCAATAATAACTATTGATTCGATTGAAACATGTACAATCTTTGATCATAATTCCATAAACTTTTATATCACATCACTTTCATGAGCATACCCATTAAGGATAAATACAAAGAGTGATTTTTTTTTAACTACTTGATTCATCTTGAAATGAAATAAAATGAGTAAATAAGACCGAAAATTCCAATCTGGAAACAAAAAAATAATTGATTTGACCTAATGAACATAATGTTTACAAGGATTTATATGCATATTCTCTCTGATACACACATATATAGAAACATGTAACTTTTGATTTGGCATAGATAAATCATATCTCACTCGATGCTGATTGGCCAAAAGTTTTCATTGACAAATAAAAAATAAACTACGGATAATACAAATTAGTGATTGTTCCGTTTTTTTTTGTGAAATTATGCTTATAGAATCACGTAAATAATGTATTATATTAATCTACGATTTTGTTTAAATCAACTTGATTTTATCAAAAATAAGTACATTTGTATAAACTATATTATAGTCAAACAATCACACGTTGTACTTGAATATTAAGAAAGTTTATGAGAAAAACATTACCAAAAAATATAAATTTAACATTATTATTTCATATACAATAGGTAATTATTGTGAACTTAGCAAATAGGACATCATCACATACTAAACATGGATTGCTACGGTCAATTTGATAAAATTCATTCATACTTGTCAGTAAAACACTTAGTTCAATTCCACATCATTCAAATTCCCAGAAGCTATAGCGCAATTAGCAACCTTAAACTTGATATTTTCAATCATAAAGAGTCAGTAGTCAACCTTCAACTGATTTCGTAACATTCTAACCCTTTCTACAAACAACTAACTGTAATCATTCATAATTTAGTAAGTTGACTTGACACGTTCACTTTAATTTCAGTACAACCATCGTGAAGCAGATGCTAGATTTGTAGTTTCAATTCATTCACTGTAAAGTAGAATATATTTGAATGTTGTTTAAACGACATAGTCATTTAAATTATTACAAGGTTTGATACTAATTGGTTATCGAGAAAACATTTTCAGAAGATTTTACGCGATACTCATATTGATTAGTAAATTTGTTTAGAAATATCTCCTCATTCTTCTCTAACATAAGCAGCATAATGACATACCATGAATACCACCCTACATCTTGAAATGAATTTTAAAATATTTCCCAAGTTAGAAAATAATAGATTCAATGAAGAACTTGTTGTTCAAATATTAATCCAAATCACAAGAAAATTATTTACACAATTTATAAACAGTACAATATATTACAACCGCATAAATATTAATTATTTCTATCAAAAATAATAAAAAGTGATAACAACTGTGGACTTAGCCATGTCGGTAATTGTCGACTACCTGGTTAGGGTCCGCGACATGATAATAATCGATGGTTAGAGACCTTGAATGATATGGCTCAAAATCGTTCGCAATGGCGTCGGTGCATTTATTCTTTGTGTTCTCTCAAATCCTAATCTTCTGGGTTCTTCAACAACTCTAGTTTTGACTTTCTAAACTTTTCTCATTTAATCATACTTCATGAATAATATCTTCTAATCCTAACCTCTCCGATTACTTCTAATACCTTTACTACCTCTTCTACTATTGGATTTGAATTGACAATTATATCTGTGTGGTGATGTGGTATGGCGACATGAACTGATGTACTTACGTACGAAGTTCTACGTTGCATCTGACTGATAACAACTGTAGTAATTACATTCAACCATTAAATATTTATTGTATTTGACAGATACTGAAAAGATATAAATCTATTGAATGAATCAAGAGGAAGAAGATCAATAAAATTTTGTTTATGACAATCCCCTTAACTAATGACATATGAAAAGAATAATGGGAAATACAAAAAATAGTGATTTGTCAACTTTATTCGTTGAACAGTCCACAATTATCATACCAGTTGTATGTACTAAGACATTACTTGAAGTTTACAGAGTTAAATAACGGGGTTGTGGATTGTGAATAAGTTGGCAGACATGATAAAAATTAAACTTGGTAATTAGGTTTTCGTTTCATTGGGATTTAAGTGACCAATCGAATCAGCATATCCTATTAGTTCATAGTTCTACTGACTTCTAATAGTTTCTTTTCGTGTTCAACATTTTGTGTCAGCGAGTTATTTCATTGAATAAAAAAGTTCCCTCCTGGTCTGTGGTTCCATATTCTTCTGTGCTCAGCAAGGAGATTATGTTTACTGTTACTCGTATATATTTTATCATCACACATTGATTGGCATTCATCTCATCTCTTTTAACAATTCAAAACCATAATCTATCCTTCAAACTTCTCTTTTATAAAAAGCATTCACTGAAGCAGACTTGGATCTGTGAACGAATATTAGCTAGAGTGCGATCGGATAAACTAAAATGACTGTGTTATAACAGTTCACAGACCTATGAAAATGTCAATTCATTTCAGTGTGGCAACTCTTGCGTAAACATCATGCATGATATGATAGAAATACAAAACTACCGAGGTAGATACAGTGAAGGTTCATTTGCAAACGAATCTATAACCAGTCGTTTTAAGGTGTGCAAACAAGTCACATGGCTTTAACCATAACTTATCATAGAGTCTCTTCATGACATTACCGGATCAGGTTTTAAGTGGTTGAATAGGGAAAGCAGTTACTTCCTACGCATAAATTCCTTAAACTATCAAAGTAATATGAATCATCAGTGTGAGTAATAATTTAGTGTGTGAATAACCGCCAATCTATCAGTTTGGTCTTTCAAAAGATTAAAGCATTTGAAATCGACAGGAGGCTAATCGTGATTCCAATGGCTCAATTGTAAAGTTTCTGACTAAGATGAGTTCGAATCCCATGAAAAACATCGATTTTCTTAACGACTGCAGATATTCCATTCAAACGAGTCCATAAGTACCAGGTGCAAATATTTCTGAAAATTGCCTTTAACCAAATAACATCGAATTAAGCTCAACGTGATGTCGAGTGACACTGCAGTCCAATTGATAGGGTTCAATGAACATTAAAACTATGTTAGTGTACTAAATACCTACATTTGTCTCCGAGGATTTATTCAAAAAAAGTGCAAATAAGGAAATATTTCATATTATACACAACGACTAAGTTTACACTAATACGGATACTCGGACGGTACACTGCACAGAGACAAGATCACACTAAACAAGATACATAATTCACGATCAAAATAGAGAATCAGAGTGCGCGATAAACAAAATTTTAGTTTACACAATTATCAGCAATCACTCAATGAGTCCGGAGCAAAAATCAATAAAAGGAACTGACATCATACATTTAATAGTCTGTGTTTGTTTGTGCAGACTGGATGAGCTATCACAGCTTCCTTTTACAACTACACATCACTTTCGCTTAGAAAACTTTGTCACAATAATCCATTCAGCGAATAACCTAAGTCATTAAAGAACTGTACAAGTTAAGAATATGCTTCAAGTATTTCCAATATATTTTTTTTAAAATGTGAGTTGTGTTTCGTTTTGAGCATAACACATTTGTGACCTGGTGTAAACAAGGCCCGAGAACTAAATTGACCTTTAACCTATTCACTATTACAAACAACTCTTATGATACTTGAAACTGTGATTCTCCTTACCCGTTTCAATAAATTTTAACTGCTGAATTACGATTGTAAAGATTGGGTAAACGACAGTTAGAAAATAAAGTTTTTTTCTTCAAATAGGATATTAAGTTACGATGAACTACTTCGCTAGATGATATCTTTCTATGATGCGGTGCGCGGTAATAAAAATGCAGTTCTTGATTAGTGAAATATATGATAGTCTAATACAATCATAAGAAAACAATATAGTTAGAAAGATTGTTTTAAAGCCTTAAAATTGCTGATAATTTAATGAGTCGAAAAGAAATAACACGAAATAGACTCATGATTTAATTGTTTATTGTGAAAACTGAGAAAATTAAATGTAGGTGGGAGTGGTGACCAACCAGACAATGAATTTTGATCATAAGTAAACGGAACATTTCACAAGGGTATGAAGTGCGTTAAATATGATATAAGGAGGTTCCAGAAAACTACAGAAAGTACGCCACAACATGAAATTAGTAATTAGATTAAAATCAAAAACAGTTGCAACTAAGGCGAAATAAAGCGAAAGTGCACCACTGAGTAAGCGAAAATGAGGCTAACAAAGTTATGTCACGAAACAAAGCTTGTGGTAACTAGCTAACAAAAAGTTGTCGTGTAAAGGCCTGATAATCGTAGGCATCCAAAATTGCCTGACCACTTTTAGTGTAGTATGGAGGCATTACTCGACTGCAATATTCCGCTTGCTCTTTGGATAAGTTCTGAAAAGTAAAAATTAACAATTTATAAGAATAAAAATGACCTGATAAGTATAAAATTGTTCAGGCAAAGAGTGGCTACTTTTGCTATTGCCTTTCCAATTTAAAGTGAGTTACCTGTACACATAAATTAAATAGAAATGTCTAATACCTAAATCACATGATATATATATATATATATATATATATATATATATTTATACAATGAAAATGGATCTATTTTAAACGGAATCGGAGAGAATAATATAGTAAATACAGAACTTTGTCAAAATGAATGATTTTGAATTCTACGCTGACAGATTAGATAATTTTACCACAAGACGAAGATTAACTCAAAAACTAAACACATATCAAAGTAGTTAATTAATTTTGTACGGTCAGCTTTTGTGACAGCTCATTTTAGAAACGACTGGAATTTAATTAACTATGAATGATGTACATGTACCAAGCGGAGTCGAATAAAGTTGAACATAATAAAATCAATTAAACTGAAATTGAAACGTACCGCATACAGTTCTTCTTTGGTGATATATTCTTTTCCTTCTTTAGTTAATGCACGGAATGCTTCCTCTACTTCATCACGGGACTGAACATTCTCAGTTTCTTTACTAATCATGAATGCCATAAATTCTTGAAGTGTTATGTAACCGTCACGATTAGGATCCACCACGTTTAATATGGATTCAAACTCAGCATCTACTTGACCTTCTCCAACTTCGTGCAAATCGTGGCCCAGTGCACGCAAACACGATTTAAATTCGCGATGATCTAAACGCCCAGATTTATCTTTATCAAAATGTTTGAACATCATAGAGAACTCGCGAAGTGCTTCTTCACTTACTCCACTAACATTTCTAGCTTGGATTTGTTGTTCTAAATTGTGTTGCATACGCATCGCAAGCTGATCTAACTGATCCCAAGCTTGACTCAAACCGACCTGAAAATAAATGCAATCATTAAGGTTCAGTGATTATCTTCTAATCGGAAAGAAAAGTAGTACAAAATTGAGAGGTAACAACTCACAGTGCTATGTTCTGTGTATCGATTATCCAGAATGAGGTGTTCTTCAAGCAAAGTTCCCAGTTTTTCAACCTCTCGCAAATCATTTTTCCGGGCTCTTACTTCTAAAGACTTCTCTCGAATACCTTCTAGCTGTTCTTCTAGAGTTCCACTACCTTCCATCATCGATGTTCGGACTTTCTGTAATAAGAAAGAAGTTTACTACAATTACTAATTCGTATATGCATGTATCACAACTAACAACCATTAATAACAACAGCCACATACCATAAGAATTTAGAACTTAGAAATATGACTACAATGTTTAGCTTTTCAGTACTCACCTGTAGCCATTGATGGAAAGAATTAGCTGCTACTGCAAATTGTTGGCGAAGTTGATCATTCTGTTCTTGTCGAACCGTTTCGCGTCGGAGTTCAGCATCTCTTTCTAAAATGATCTTCTGCAGATTGCGCCAAGTTTCCACAAGCGACTCCATTGTAAACCAAGTGTACGGATTCATGCCAACCTTAGAAATGTGATGGAAAAGAATTTGCGATAGTGCTTAACAAATGAGGTAAAAAAAATGTTTTTCTTAATAATTTTTCTTCAGCTTCTACAGTTTTATATATCAGAATTAATAATTCAAATAGTGACCGGGTTTAAAACAGAATACAAAATTTAAAATCATATCATAAGAATTTAGGATTATTTGTCGCATGTATCGTTAATGCTGGATAACTATAATATGAAATGTTCATTTGAATAAGTTGATATGTTAAATGCAATAGTGAGATAATAAATAATCAGAAGAGATACAGTTTACACGGGGTTAGAGAGATAATAATGTAATTTTACATATCAAAAACCACGTAATATGTAGTAGAACATGAATCGGATACGAATTAGTCAATAAGAATGGATGCTGAATAAATGTCTCAAAACATTTGCAAGCGTAGTAATAATAATAATAATTGTAATTGTTATTCTTATTCTTATTATGATTACGCTACAAAAATGCACAAAGAGGGGGTTGTATGTAGAATATTAATCAGATGATCATCAAAATGATTTCTTAACTAATTAATTAGATCAGAAGTTGATCAATGTAAAAGGAGTTACGTCAAACAATGGTACCAAACTTTATTCACATTTTCTATCGGTTATTCTGTTTTAAACTAGTATTAGACATAAAAATCTTCATTATATCTACAAAGTAGGTAAAGTCTCAAAATCCGCAATTAAAATCTACTATGTATCTGTTATTTAGCATAGGTATTCTATTTAGGTTCTCTAACACAAACACATTACATGCTGAGGAACATACACTTAAATGTCATCGTATGCTATGTACTTACGCCATAGCTTTTAATTTCACGATCTAATTGTGCTAACTGTTGGAAATCAGCCTCTGCAGCTTTGAGAGATGCTTTGAATTGTTCTTGGGCTTCACACAGTGCATGGACTTCATCCAACGAATTACATCGCACGGGGTCAGTTAAGTCTTCTTCAGCATTTTCGAACCAAGAGTTAAAGGTTGACGCCCGTTTAGCGAATGCCAAGTAAAGTTCCTCTACCTTGCGATATTGTTCTTGTAGCTGAATAAGATCAGCTTTACGGCGGGCAGATTCCCGACGTAAACGTTCCCAACGATCCATTAACGAGGTAAAACTGAAAACATGAATAATATATAGAGGAAAAGTGATACCATTGTTTGAGCAAGTGTAGTAATGCGTATATAATGGACTATTTCATCAACATTATGCAACTAACCGTTGTTTAATGGCTGGACTCTGATTGTGCTTTGCTGTGATAAGGCGGTCGTGAAGTTCAGTAATCGTTTGAATCCCTTCCGTATGGAAAGATTCTAATGCTGTGTCAAAAGTTGCGTGTTTTGCCAACAAAATTTGAACACTGCTTAAATCTCGCCCATAATCATCACTACGTACTTGAGTTTCTCGGTCAGCTATCCAAGATTCAACAACATCTGTTCTCCACATAAACTGTAAGAATGCTGAGTTGTCAGTGAGATTCGTTTTGCGACGTTGGGCAGCCTGATTAAGTGCATTCAACTTTTCTATTAAGCCTTCACATCGTTGCTGAATAGACAAACGATTGTGATTTTCAGATTGCACCAACTCAGATCCAGTTAAACAAAGTTCTTTACATTTTTCATTATGTATCTGTAATAGAAAAAACCAATCAGTCAAATCCAAAAACATAAAAAAGACTGACGGTGAAAGTTTCACTTACATTAAGATCTGTATCGAAGGCATCATGCTTTTTCAAAAGGCCCTGAACAGCAGCAAGAGTATCGCCGTAATCCTCACTACTAAGCAAGTGTTGTTTCTCAAGGATCCAAGCCTCCTCTTCTTCTACTCCATCGATAAAATCTTGGTATGCCAATGACTCTTCTAATTTCTGCCGTCGAAGTGCTGTTAGACCCTGTAGTTCTTCCCAAGCTGTTTGTAGACGCTGAATAAAAACAGGAAGCTCAATGGATATTAATGCTTTCAAACTATAGTACAGAATATTTTATTCGTGTGTGTGATATACATCTGGGATTAATTTAACACAGAAAGACGAGTTCATGTCAAAATTTGATTTTGTTTATAACTAGATATGATTAATAGTAGCAACTCCACTAAGAAAACTAATATAATTACTTATCAGGACTATCAGCGGCTTATTATTATCTTTGACATTCGAAGTAGAACAAGGGTCTAATAAATAGTTCCACCAAACCATTCATACGGAAAACGAACGAATATGAAACAAATATTTCATAGCTGGATGCTACTTAACACTCACGTCTCGTATACAAACTATGTATATGACTGGTTTAGGCAAATGATTATCTAAAATATTCTACAGGTTGAAAGCACATTCTCATATTTCAAGCGATCGTGTACGAATTACGTGCGCTAAAACAGCAGGATTTGAAGATGAATAACAGATGTAGATAAACAGGAAATTGCATATGGGTGATAGGTAGTTTACCCGATTTGACACAGATCACATTCTGTCCTCAAGGGAGTACGGCAAGGTGACTGATTTAAGCGTAGGAGGGATATTGTAAGTAAGCAAATTATTTACCTAGTCAAACTTCTTAGCCAGGTGTTTTATTTGGATTAGTCGCTGATATTTTAAATAATATACATGAGCTATGTTGTACGTTGTTTTGGTTTTCAAAGCATTTTTTGATCGTCTCATTCTGTGTTGCTGGTCCAGTAAGCGCTAGGATAAGTATTGTGTCGAGGAATAGGGTCGGAAAGACATAAAAATAGCACAATACCATCAGCATTAAAACTGTTTGATAGTTCGCAATTTCTGTCACAAAATGGTTGAAATATCTTTTCAATTTTTCAGTGGTAGGTTTACAAAATAAAGTAGAAAATTTAGTTTATAAACTTACCTGGATTCTTTTTTTTATTTCCTCAGGATCAGCAAGTTGAACACCCAGAGTGAGTTCCTCTCCTTGTGCGATAACTTGTTTGATGAAGGGATCATGAGCCGCTACCTCGTTTTCAATTCGTTCATGCTTTTTGCGTAGATTGCGTACTCCAATAAGATCACGTCCATAATCTTCTGAACTAACCAAAATCTTTTTTTCACGGATCCAAGCTTCTTCATCGTCAATATTGCGATAAAAATCATGCAAACGCTTAGCCTTCCCAAGCGTTACAGCGCGATTTTCCGACATGGCCAGGATCTATAAGGTTAATGATAACAATATTTAATGATCTGGTCAAAAAGAGCATTACAGTGACAAACCATTTGTTGTTACAATATCAAGCAGAACAAAAAGATACGCATAAAAAACTGGAAGTGTTTAAAGGAATTGAGAATTTTTTAGTGTAACGAATTACCTTTTCATACCGTTCATTAATCATTTTCTTGCGCTCACGAACCATATCAGCATCCCAAGCACCGGACTTAATAAACTCGTCTGCGCGTGCATCTAATTCCTTAATACGATCTTCATGGGCACGGATATCAGTAACAAGTACCTGAAGATAAAGAGAATTAGAGAAATATGTATAATAACAAGACAATAAGCATAAGGACTCACTACATATTAGAATAAGGACAAACGCAGCACGCAAAAAAACCATCAGAATTGATATGTATGTGATGAAACGCGAATGGAAATTCACAGTCAAAGCTTGATGTCTTAACAAAACATTTTTGAAAATATTTAGTTAACTGCTTTTGCAATTAGATTGACTCAAAACCATGGCTCAAAACCGTTCGCAATGGCACAGTTGCATTCATTCTTTGTGTTCTCTCGAATCCTAACCTTCTGAATTCCTTATTACCTTTCACTTTCTAAGTTTATTTCACTGGATCATACTTCTTCAATAATATCTTCGAACCCTAGTCTTCTCCATTACCGTATTACTTCTACTACACCTACCAATATGGGATTTGAATAGACAATTGCATCTCTGTGCTAATGTGGTAAGGCAACTTGGGCTGGTGTAGCTACGTACGACGTTCCACGTTGTAGCTGGTTGACTGACTTTGTCTTCTCTCAAATTCTAATCTGGATTCCTCCTTTTCTCATTAAATTTATTTTGCTGGGATATACTACTCCAATTATCTTTGATCCCTAATCTTTTTGACTACCGCTTATGCTGCTACTACTTGTGCTACTACGGGAATTTTTCTGTCTCTCTGTGCTAATGTGGTATAGCAGCTTGCTGACTGATCGACTGAATTTCATTTTTATTTTGACTGTTTTGGGGAAATGAGTTTTTGAGAATTTCTACGTTTCCTAATCGGTGTAGACATTTTCTCTAAGAGTGGGATGCTCTAACTGGAATTTTCCAGTGATGACTGAGAAGTAGCAGATTCGACAGATAAATGATGTCTACAGGACTTAAAAACAAAACTGTTTGAAAATCATGCTTTTAGAAAACTTATTACTGATTACACCATACAACCATTAAATTTTGATGCAAATAGGAGAATCAGCAGCTTGTTACAGGTAAAGGTGTTTACATCTGTACATAATAGATACCACATGAACATGCCTACCTGATGCTTTGATAGAAGGCTGTCAACAGATGCCGAATCTCTTCCATGATCGGGACTAACGAGTGACGTTTCCATTTCACCTAACCAAAATTCAATATCTTTAATACCAGCATTATATGCAGCTTGGCGATTGGCCTCCTGTAACTTTTCGGATTTTTCATGAGATCGATTAACAAGGTTGTCCCACTGGTTAGCAAGCTTGGCGATACGTTCTTCAACAGCACTTTCCTGTCCCATACATTGATCTACAATAAGAAATGGAAGGCACATAAGTTGTGAAGATAAAATCATCATGAGGTAATTTTTAACGAAAAAAGTAGGCTGACTTACTCTTCTGTTTTAAACGTTGTCCAGCTGCCAAAATCCCTTGAAGACGTTCTGCATTGGCGGCGAGCTCTGCTTCAAAAGCCTGGTGCTTCTGATGTTTAGCCTGAATATTTGTTGTGGGATCTTTATAGGGTTCATCCATCGTAAATTGCATTTTTTCGTTTATCCATAACTCCATTTCATCAGCATCTCGAATGAAGGCCTGAAGCGTTTGAACGTCTCCTAACCTGCTACGATTATCAATCATAGCGTTTTTCAAGTGAGTCCAACGATTTAAAACTTCACCACGCTTAGCTTCAATTGCATTTGCATCATAATGATCAGCTTCCAGAAGCTTATCAGCATTTGCCATCAAGGACTGGATCTTAACTTCCTGCAGGGTGATTGCACGGTTGAAATCTTCATGTTTCTTTATCAATGCATCAACTTTGTTTCCATCAACATCATCACCAGCTAAAGATGCTTCTCGAATAGCCATCCAATCCTCAGCTTGTTCACAATCACGCAAAAATAGCTGTTCTTCTAAATTTTGTTCCAGTAGTTTGTGTCGATTTAACCAAGCTCTAGAATGTAGAAACAAATAATTTGTTAAAACCTAATAAGAATAATTTACAAGGTTTATAAGAGACAGAGATAGCTATTATGTTGCACTTATTTCTTATTTAAAATATAAGCTAAAAAGTCTGTTAGGATTAAAGTGTGACTTTTTTAACAAAGGATTTCATTTTACCATTGATCTTGAATTCATATATATATATAATTATTCGAAGACTAACAACAGTAATTATTCGAAGACTAACATCAGTAATTAATCGAAGCATACTAGCCTAGAACACAAATCTTCATTAGCACAAAACAAGTGTTTACTTAATAAGAACTAATAAAGCTTCATGTACTTGGCTCTGAACAGCACGGTGTATGAAGATACTACCTACCGGCTGCCTAAAATAAAATAGATGCTGAAGTTTGTAACTAAATTACTGAAAGGTGTGCTAAGCCACTAAGCCACCCGGGTTATATCTTTTTGCTTTTACCTGAACCCAAAGTAAGGGATATTGGAAGAACGAGGATTTTCTTAAAATCTCTGAACATTTGTGTTAACTCAGTTTGTTACCTCATCTTTCTGTACAGTCAACAAACATCTCATTATCCTCACCATATTTTAATTCAACAAATCTGTTGTTAAACCGTGTCTTCATATCTACTATATTGTAATTATTAACATAAGCATGGATGTAAAAATATTCGACCTTAGTCTCGCCTCCTTTTTAACATTCTTTTATTGCTATGCAATATTCGTCAACATGGTATCAAGTGTTTTTTAGAATCTCAAACAATTTTACGTCATTGTAACACAGTGATAAGAAATTGCTCCAAAAGTCTGATAGAGTTCATAAATTCTAGCTGGCTATTATAAAACTGGAAATTGTACGTACAAGAGTGGAAAGTACCCACAAACACTTGAACAATTAATTGAGATGAAGTCTTATACAAACTAGATTTTATTTATAAAAACGCTGTGCACAAAATTTAAAGAAAATAAAATGAAATAAATTTGTTTCACTTTGCAAAACAAGTCAAACTTTAGTATACAATTTAATCTTAAAACAAACTGATTTCAACTTTTTGCACAATACTTTAATAATGCAATATCATTTTTTTTGGAGTGATTATGACCCACCATCATTAAATATCCATGCAAAATTTATGAGAGAAATCATTTTATATGGAAACAGCAATTTTTATTCAATATTATTATCAGTCTGAATGGAAATAACAAAAAAAAATATCTTTACTTTTCATCACTGACCGCACGAGGTTTCGAAGAATCTTGCACAGACGAATTCGGGAAAACACCTTATTCGCACTCATTTCATTGGTAAAGTAATTTCATTAATTATGATTAGTATCCTAGTCAGAGACACTTTCATTTTCTATGGTAGGAACCGCTTGATGCAGTATTTACGTTTATGCATCTATTAAATAAAAAAATTCACTCCATTTCTCTGCCGGTTGCGATTGTTTAGAAGGCTTGTTACTGCGCTTAAAGTAGAAGTAAAATACTGTGACAGTGGAATTTTAGGTGTCTGTCTTTTAAATACAGAGTTTATGCCAACTTTCTAACCTCCTAACATCAAGTTCATGGTGAATCCGATGTTGAGTCATTTAAACTAGTGATCTTATTGTAACTCATATGACAAAACTCGATCAGCGTGAAGGACTAAACAAACCTGACTTTGATGAATGCAAATAATAAGTACAAAAGCCTAACGTCCATTTGAAAACACACGAGTATATATGTTAATTAAAGTATGACATGATTTACTACATGGTCCAAAGAACCGGACTAAGTGTTGCAAAACGGTGCAGTCGGCATTATCCAGGATGAAAGTGTAAACTGCGTAGATAAAGAACTTTCGCTCTTTCCATAAAAATAATAACTTACACATTCAGCGCTTCTCTTGCTTCTGTAATTTCTTGAAGTTTTTGTTGTACGACCTCCGAAGCATAATGTCCATTGTCAAGTAACTCTTTACCAAAGGATTCGAAGTTTTGAAAAGCTGGGGCGCGAGTATCAATTTCTGTGCGATATTCCTATGAGAACAAATAATGTAAATGGAAAGACTTACACGGTGACTATCTAACAACGATTCTGCACTTGTAACATACGTACCCACTTGTTTTGACGATACCAAACCATTCATTGTACTAATCCAAGACTGAAGATCTCTGAAAACAAAAACATTAAAGAGAGCCAAACAGAATAACTACTTATTAGGAAATCCAAATAAGTTAGTTTAATTTGCTCAAATGATAGTATATTTTACACTGAACTTATGGACAACACTCAATTAACGTTTATTAATTTTTTCCACCGATGGAACTCGTTATGAGCTAATAACTTTATAAGACAGAAAGAAAATTAAGTTGTTCTACCAATTCGGGAAAGTCGGTAACGGAGATAAATAGTACGGAAAGCCCACTAGTTGATTAGAAGTATTTTTAAATAATACCTCAAGCATAGGAATTTATGGCTGAAGGTAGATATAGAAACTTAATACCTGGGGAAATAGGGTACCAGTTCAAAATATATTTCATTCAAAGAATCCACGACAACCAAGGCAACGACTAAAAATTCCCAATGAGTTCGAAGGTACTTGTTTGTAAAAATACATTCATGCTTTTTTACAAACTAATTATTGCAAGCCAAGTCAAGTTCCTATTCCTCTAAGCTTTTCTCAGAAGCATATAAATATGTCGCCCACTGGTCTACTCATCCAACCATTTTGGATTAACAACTTCAATAAATATGCTAGCCATGGGGTGTATTACATACATGAGCGCTAAATTAGTTATCTGGCTTTTAACTGTTAATTGGAAACTTGTACATATACTCTAATATTATTATTAGTCCAAAGAAAACGTGATTGTAAGTCAAAAATATAAACCTATAATTCGTTACTGAGCTGCTTTAATTCACCTAAAAACGTGTAATATCCATTTACCCTGCTGTGTGAAATGACAGTCACGGTAGCTCGATTGTTTGACAATGGTAGGTAGAAAAAAATCTAACAAACAACTAAACAACTACACTATGATTACTCAGTGGAACTAGATAATCTTATGTCACATTTACTCAAGATATGGTACAATACATGCACATATGCTTCTAAGTAATACTTACCTTGCATCAGCGAGGAACTTTTGAAGATCTAAAGAATCTAAGAGTTTGGCCTTTCGTTTTTCAGCAGTAGCCGCTAGACCATCCCACAAATGGTTAATTTCCTCCTGATGTGTGAATATAGCTTCCGCATCCTGAGGATGAATTTGTACCAAATCAGCGGCTTTCGAATCTAACTGCTTAACCCTCTCTCCCAAGGCTACCAAATCCCTTTCTAATGCATCGTGTTTGCGTATTAAACGCTGAACAGATGTGAAGTCATTGCCCACATCATCTGTTAGTAATCTGTTCTCCTTCTCTTCGATCCATTCCTTGGCTTCATCACATTCCCTATGATAGCGTTGAACGGCATCGATATCTTCCAGTTCTTTAGCTTTTTTGGCGGTCACTTCCTCTAATTGTTCATATTTCTTTTGGAGTTGCATGATAATACCCTCTATTTTTTCAACAGCCTCAGTCTGACCACCTCGTTTTAGTTTGTCTGCTTTTGCGCACAATTCTGTTACTCTAGCTTCTCTCTCCTTTTGTTCCATAACGAACTCATCTACCTTCTTCTTTTCTGATTCTACTTCCTCTAGTCTTCCAGGAACGATAGTTTCTGTTACAGCAACTAGTTCTTTTTCGACTACCCATTGATGTAAATCGTTAGCTTCTCTAACTAGTTGATAGGCTTCAACAGAATCCTGTAGCCTCTCTCGACGATCACGACCCAGCTGAAGAAGATAATTATATTGTCCCTCCAGACGTTGCTGTTGCGATGCTACAGTAAGCGGTTTAGTTTCTAAACCACCTTGGGTGTCAGAAACAGGAGCCTCAACTTTCTTGACATATGCTGCAGGGACAAACCCTTGACGGTCATTCACCTCAACTTTCCACCAGTCTTTGTGGTTACTAGCTAATAACGTTAAAATATCTCCTTTCCGCATTGAGACCTCTCTAGGAGACTTTTCTTGATAGTCATATAAAGCCATTACCACATCTTTACCGAGTAGATCACTTACAGGGGCCTCCTGCATTCGGCAACTACTGGCTTGGATACCGAGAGCTTCAATAGTTGAACCATATGCCTCAATATCTGCAAGCAGAGCGTTGTGTTTCTTTAGGAGTGCCTCCGTAGAATCTTCATCTCGACCGAATTCCGACGAACCGACCAGTGGTTCTTTTTCTCGCATCCAACTTTCGGCTTCGCTCGCATCAGCAAAGTATTGTTGGGCCTGCAATGAATCTTCTAACAGCTGTCGTCGACGGTCTGCTTTCTCGCAAAGTTGAGACCAGTCAGTAGTTAAGTCGGTTATACGTCTCTCAATGTCATTAGCTGCATAATGGTTAGCGTGTATCATAGCCTGACCTTCTTGAACAACCTCCTCAATGCGTGGTGAGTGACCATTTATTTCTGCATATATCGCTTGATGTTTTTTGATTAAATTTTGCACACCTATCAAATCACGACCTGAAAAATGAAATTTGAATTGATTAGTTAGGTGGAGCTTGCTTAAATACATCTAGAAATAATTGACAAGTAGAGTTCATTTGATAGTATACTTATATTCGTGAAATATTGTATTTAAAACAGACAACTTATTGAACTCGCCAAAAAGCTACGACAAATAAAATGAACATTTCGGTTTTGATTAAGAATTTCTGATCTGCCACTCAAAATATTCCAGACCGAAGCTGCTACCTTGACATGGTGGTCGGGCTTGACTATTGTGATGACCCAACCGAGTTATACTGGCTGGAACATATGTTCATGAAGGTTCTACCGTGCCAGGCAGATCGATTGGAGAACGATGAGACTAAAAGCAGCTACCCAAGGTCTGAGAGCAAAGTCGTACTGCTGACTGACTGCAGAGGGGTTTCCCTCGGACAACCAGTATCTGCAGCGATGCTGCCTTCTCACAAGGAAGGAAGGGTTAGAAGACGTCGACCCTAAAAATGTCACACCTCACCCTACCTCACGGATTTCCGTCTCCGTGGGCAAGGGTGCCCACTAAGGGCTTTCAAGAGCGGAGCTAATACTCAAAAACCCATTCATAAAAAGGCTGTGCGTGACCGGCCACAAGCAGTTGTCCCTTGGGCTCTGCGGTCACGCAACCAGGTCTCTAAGAACAACACTAACATACCTTCCTTTTCAGGTTCCTCAAGAAACAACCTTCCACGGTGTGGGCAGCCGGGGTGTGATAACTGCCCTCATACCCGTAACAGCACATAAGACCAAATTGGTCAAAATCAAATCCTTCCTACATTCCCTAATACCTCTCTTATCTCCACGATTAACTCTTCTCACATTCATTTATCACAGTGCACAGCTAATGCAAACGATGCGAGTTTGCGAAACGTCGTTCCTGGTCTCCTTAAATCCCTTTCTAAACTACACGTTGGAGCATTTAATGTACGGACATTGTGTCAAATAGGGCAACAGGCATCATTAGCTAGGACTTTAGAATCTCGTGCCATCGATGTATGCTGCGTCTCGGAAACGCGCATACAGGATCCGAGTGGCACCATTCACTTGACCTCACTATGTCAAGATAAAGAAGCAGCTCGATTTACTCTTCGTGTATCCGGTAGCCCTGATGCTGCTTCTAGGGGCCTCGCCGGTGTAGGTATAGCATTGAGTCGTAGGGCAGAACAATCTCTCCTTGACTGGATCCCTGTAGATAGTCGCTTGTGCGCCCTCCGACTGAACGGGACAGTAAGGACTCGGAAAGATAGGGACACTCGTCGTTGTCTCTTCGTCATATCAGCCTACGCCCCCACTGACTGCAGTGCAGACGAGGTTAAAGATGAGTTTTACAGAAAGCTTTCGGACCTCCTCCAAAAAGCTAGGCGCTCTGATATAGTTGTAATGGCTGGTGACTTCAATGCTCCAGTAGGCAGACTAGGTCCTGATATGCTTACCCCTATGATTAAGGATGGTAGTCCAGTTTTGAAAGTTAGACTGACCGAGATACTAGGTAGAATCTAGGAACTGGACGTAATCCCATCTGACTGGTCTCAATCCCTGATTGTCTCAATCTATAAGAAAGGACAAAAGTCTTCTTGTGACAATCACAGGGGAATAAGTCTAACTAATATTTTTTCTAAATTGTTAGCCTCCATTATACTTAGACGTCTAATTAGAGCTCGTGAAGAGCAGACTCGAGAAAACCAGGTTGGTTTTCGACCTGGACGTGGTTGTATAGACCACATCTTCACACTAAGACAGGTCCTGGAACACAGGTATACATTTAGGCGTTCGACAATAGTTGTGTTCCTGGACCTAAAAGCGGCATTTGACTCTGTGGATCGTGAGGTTCTGTAGCAGTGTCTGTCACTGAAAGGTGTACCAGAGAGGTACATTAACATCATACAAGCTCTCTACTCGAACACCACTGGTCGAGTGAGAGCTTATGGTGAACTGTCAACGGAATTCTTTACCTCAAGTGGTGTCCGTCAGGAGGGATGTCCACTCCCTCCATTCTTGTTTAATTTTATCATAGACATGCTCTTAGAAATAACCTTATCCTCGTCTGAATTTTCGGGAGTAGACCTTCTACCAGGAGGCTCGCTTATTGACTTAGAATATGCCGATGACATAGTCTTACTTGGTGAGGACGCTGACAAAATGCAGAGTCTTCTGACTACCCTAAGCAACAATGCAAGCATGTTCGGGATGCGGTTTCCCCCCTCGAAATGCAAAATGTTGCTCCGAGATTGGGTTGCATCGGCACCCGAACTAGTGATAGGGAGTGAAGTAGTCGAGCGTGTTGATCGCTTCACTTATCTTGGGAGTCTCATCAGTGCTGATGGCCTGGTGACTGACGAAAGCTCAGGACGGATACAGAAAGCTCGATTGGCTCTTGCCAACCTGCGTCACTTTGGCGCAGGCGTGATATCAGATCGCTGACTAAAGGACGGGTGTACTGCGCAGCAGTTCGCTCCGTTCTCTTATATGGTTGCGAAACATGGCCGTTAAGAGTAGATGTTCGTAGGTTACTGGTATTCGATCATAGATGTTTAAGAAGCATTGCTCGTATACCGTGGGACAGCCGAGTAAGCAATGCTGTCGTTAGGAAACGGGTGCTAGGTAAGGATGGCAGATCAGTAGATGAAGTAGTGAAACTTCATCAGTTGAGGTGGTTGGGAAATGTGTTACGTATGCCTAACCACCGACTGCCGCGACGAGCCATGTTTTGTAGTGTGGGAGTAGGTTGGAAGAAAGCTAGGAGCGGCCAGACCAAAACGTGGCAGGAATCCATGAAGTCATTGACAAGTGGACTGAGTCATGTCGGTAGATGTAGACTACCTGGTTGGGGTACGCGAGACGAAAGTCACCAATGGTTAGAGACCTTGAACGACATGGCTCAAAATCGTTTGCAATGGCGCAAGTGCATCCATTCGTTGAGTTCTCTCAAATCCTAATCTTCTGGAATCGTCAGCACCTCCAGCTTTGTCTTTCTAACCTTATCTCACTGAATTATACTTCTTGAATAATATCTCCGAACCCTAGTCTTCCTCATGACCATTAATACCTCCACTATCTTTATCACTATGGGATTTCATTTGACATTTGCGTCTCTGTGTTAATGTGGTATGGCTACATGAACTTATGTACATACGTACAAAGTCCTACGTTGCAACTGACTGACTGACTGATATTCTATACACAGAAAGAACCCAGAACTGGATGTACATCCGCCTAAGTTATTACACCAAGACAATGGAAAGCAATAGCACTGAAATGATAGTGTCAATTGTAAAAAGCCAAACATGTCACAAAAGAATGAAATAAAGAAATGAGGACTGACTAAGAACATAAGATCTGACGAATGTGTGAAATGTTTGGTGAAAATAATAATGAAAAAGGACGAAACGGTGGGTTTGCGACCACGAACAATCTCAAGAAAGAGCTAAACTAATAAAGTGACCGAGCCTAAGAAAGTTTCGTGAGTTAAAATAGTCTTAGCGATAAATAGAATAGTCGTGACTTAGGTACTAGACTCTTAAACTTGGGGTCAGTGTCCACGTCAGGCTCGAAAACTAAACAGGGTTCTCTAAACCCCCACGATTATGCTCATGAGCCACGTACATGGATTTGTACATGTTTGTTGAGTTGGAGTGCCTTTGTGACAAGCACAACAAACTCCGTAAAGTCAGTCAGTCAGATGCAACTTAGAACTTCGTACGTATGTACATCAGTTCATGTTGCCATACCACATCAGCACAGAGAATCGTCAATTCAAATCCAATAGTAGAAGAGGTAGTAAAGGTATTAGAAGTAATCGGAGAGGTTAGAATTAGATATTATTCAAGAAGTATGATTCAGTGAGATGAGTTTAGAAAGACAAAACTAGAGGTGTTGAAGAATCCAGAAGATTAGGATTTGAGAGAACACAAAAAACTCAGTAAAACTACTAAACAACGAGCCATATTAAAATTGCAAACATTGACTAAGTACTCTCTTCTAAAAGTCAGTCAGTTACAACACGAAATTTGGTACGTACGTAGATTAGTCCAATTTGCCATACTCCATTAGCACACAGACCGAATTATCAATTCAAATCCCATTTTAGCACAGGTTGTAACAGCAATAGCGATAATCGGAAAGATTAGGGATCGAAGATATGATTCGAGTTTATCCCAGTGAAATAAACTTAATGAGGTAAAAGGTCAAGAGCAACCCAGATCAAAATTTAAGAAAACAAAAAATGGATGCACAATTGCAAGCAATTTTGAACCACGTCACTCAAAGTCTTTAACCATCGGTTACGATTATCTCGCGGACCGCAACCAGGTAGTCTACATCTACTCATTTAAAAAGATAACAGTTAATATATAATTCATAAGCGAGATAAGCTATACATTAATTAGCAGCAACTAGGTGCATGTGGCTACAAGTACTATAGTTGAAGTAGGAATAAGTTAGATAAGAACCATAGATAGACAAATCAAGATAACCGTATAATCGATTGACAAAGGACCATGGATGGGAACATTACCAAATGAAGTATTTAATTCTCAAGTTTACAACCCGTGGGTACATGGATAAAGTTGATATTTAGAGCAGTCAAATAAACAGACAAACAGACTATCTGATACCAACAGTGTCCCATGACCCGACATTTACTATGTACTGACTCCGATTTGGAGTACCAAATCCGTCGAGTTTCCTTAGAAGCTAGTCAGTTTGAAACCACCTATTTGGTAAACTTTTTCACTTTCGACTTTTGATAAATTCCTATTTGTATGCTACATTATACAACCCACGTCAGCCGTAAACAATGTAGAACCGGGGACCAATATGTAACAACCAAGTTTTCGCACAGAAGTGGAAGCAGATACGTACACACCCAAACTCTGATTAGTAGATATTCGTCCCAGGTCGATGGTTGATCTGATTGTCTAAGAGGCAACGGTTTTGACACGACTCGTCAAAAATAAGGACGGATATTAGAGGTAAAATCATGTAAGCATCTGCAAAAAGCAGTATACTGCTTTTGCATACTGCTGTGAAAAGAAGCTAATTATTTTATGGCACGTAAAACCGCACACATGTGTACGGGGAACAGGTGCCAAGCAAATAGATAACTAATCTACTTACCTACATTAGTGGAACCCGCAACTGGCTCCTTTTCGCGAATCCAATCTTCCTCGTCCTCAATATCCCTAAACAACTGGTGCAACTTGTAAGCATCTGCCAACTTTTCACGACGTTGGTTTAATGGTTTCTGCAAATCGTGGTAGCGTTGGGACAACTGCCGCTGTTTTTCCTGGATTATAGGAGCATCAAAGTGACCCTCAGCAGCAAATGTGTCGGCTTGAACTTTAAATGCTTCTATGCGCTCACGGTGTGCAGCAACATCAGACTCCAGCAAGTTGAGTCTTTTCTGTGCATTCATTACCCCATTAAGGTCTCGACCGACATCTTCAGATGCGATTTGAGCTTCAACATCATCTAACCACAACTCGACATCTTCGACATTGCGAACGAATTGTTGTTGTCTGCTAGCTTGATCTAAATTTTTCTTTTTGTTAGCCATAGCATTTACGAGATGAGACCAAGTTTCATCTAGTTGGTCAATTTTCGATTTAATTTCTGTTGAACTATAATGATTTGTGTTTAACAAATCCTGACCGGTTTTCTTGATATCTTCAACACGAGGCTGATTCGCCTGTATTTCTGCTTCGAAGTTTTGGTGCTTTTGCACTTTTGTTTGCAAATTAGTTGAGTCTTTATAGCTTTCGTCGAGGGCACTTTTCAATTTCTCTGATATCCAAGACTGCATTTCATCAGCGTCACGATCGAACATCTGAAAACGGTGAGAGTCTTCAAGACGTAGCCGGCGGTTTTGAGCTTTTTCTTTCAAGGAATTTCGTCTGTCTTGCAAAGCATGTTGCAGATCTGAGACTTGTGCAGCAGCGTAGTGATTCGTTTCTATAAGTTTATTTGCGAACTCGTCAAGCTGACGCATCTTTTCTTCTTGAGCTAACAAGGATTTTTCAAAATCTTCGTGCTTTCTTATGAGTGCCTCCACTGAATCGAGGGAATCACCAACATCTTTGATCTCTAAGAGCGCCTCTTGCTTTCCAATCCAAGACTCGGATTGTTCTGCATCCCGATAGAAATACTGAAGACCCATACATTGTTCTAGTTGCTCGCGTCTCTCCTCACATAGATCCAGAAGGGCGGCTTTATCTCTTTCCAGATTGGAAAGCTTTGCTGCGATTTCCCCACTGGATGGATGACCAACATCGATCAGAGCTTGACCCTCTAACATGCATGTGTCGAAACTATCGTTTCGCGAATTGATTTCTGCAGTATATTCTTTATGACGTTCCACCTGAGCTTCAGCGCCAGCCACGTCTTTTGCTAGATCGTCAGCGGAGATCAAGCCTTTCATGTCTGTTACCCATATGCTTAAGTCTTTCCAATCAGCAAGAAAGCGGTGCATCTTAAAGGACTCTTCTAGCTTGCTCTTTCTATCCACAAACTGATTCTTTAGTTTTTCCCAAGCAGCAATTAAAGCCTCGTATTTCCCCTGTATTGTATCTTTAGAGTCTGGATGTTTCTGTGCAAGAGCCGAAGCATCATCTCCCAGTTGGATTATCTTTTCGTCCAAAGCGGCTAGATCTCTTTCTAAAGCGTCATGCTTTCTCTGCAGTGCTTGAACTGAAGCTAAGTCGCGACCACAATCTTCGACAGACAAAGGAATAGACTTTTCATTTACCCATGATATAGCTTTGTCTGTATCTCGGAAGAAACGTTGTATTTCATAGGCCTCGAGAAGCTTGTCTTGGCGCGTTTTGGCCAGATTTTTTAGTCGTTCGAGAGCCTCACGAACTTCACGTGACTTCTCTATTACCAATATATCTTCAGGAAATTCCTCCTTTAAAAGTTCATCTGCTTTGAGATAAATATCTTCTGCACGACTTTCTTGAAATTCGAGATCCTAGAAAATAACAATCAGAAAATAAGTGCCAAACCTTCATAAACTCGTCAAACTTCTTCTGTAGGGCTTCGACGTGCTCTAAATCCTGGCCGAAATCTTCGGAAGTTACGTAAGCTTCTTTCTCGCGTGTCCAAAAAAGCAGTTCATCGACTTGACGTAAAAACTGGACGAACTTAAGAGTGAGGTTGATGAGACGCGATTTTTCTCTGAACATAGACATTAACCTTTCCCATAGAGCATGTAACTCATCCAGCCGGTTCTATAAACATTATACTGCATGGTAGTAAAAAACTTTACCTTGATAATCTCAGAAGCGTAGTGCCCTTGTCCTATCATCTCCTCACCTGCAGAAGTGAGGGCCGATAGTGTCTCTGCATGAGCTGTAACTTCAAGCTCAAAAGCCTGATGTTTTTGTTTTTTAGCCTAAGAAAACGGTTAGTCCTCAAATATTTTACCTGAAGGTTACTCAATTCTTTGAAATCCTCATTTGCATAGGTTTGCAGCTTTTCATTAATCCAGCTCTCAAGTTCATCAGCATCTCGCTTAAAATATTGGTACCTTTGAAAATAAATTTAGTCGTATTTAACTTAACCTCTTAGCCTCCTCTAGCTTATGACGACGGTACTGAGTGGCCTCTTTGAAAGCACAGTAGCGAGACAGGACTTGTTCCCGACGTTCACGAACATCTTCAGGAGTTTCCAAAACCTTAACCTTGGACGGAGGTTCAACCATTCTATACCACAAAGTCGAAACTCATATGAAACTGGATGGTTAACGAAATGGTGCAGTAAAACACATGTGCATTTCCTGACAGTTTACATCAGGATAAGGTACATTCAAAAGAAACAGTACAACTTTGTAACATTATTTCGATTTCGATTACTCTGTTCTGTTTGATTTACGCTGAAATAATATTCATCAAAAGAATAATAGGCAAAAGTCTATACACAGTGAAATGAAGCGAATTAAAGAGTTTTGTGTATTCATAGTCACACCAGTTATCCAAGCTTCTCGCTTTCCTCACAGAAGTAATAGCTTCGCTTTCATCTCAAGTTCTCCGATCTCTCTACCGTTTTTGGTTATCAGTATTACCACTACGTGAAACACGGTAAACCCAATCGTAACGCTAGGTCCGCTTCATTCAGGAGAACAAAAGTCACAGCAAGACCAGTTAGTTGTCGAGAGTCGTTAAGAATCTCACAGCTTTCCTAATGTAACTGTGATTGTAACTCCTATGAAAACTGATGAATGAATGCAAACAAACGGTCAAACGTCGTTAAATAATAGCCGGTTTCTGACCGCGGTTTTGAAATCGTATGCTGATCAAAGGGACGTCAACCATCCTTAAAAGAATCAAGTTTAGCGAGAGTTCTGAGCCTGAAATGATAAATAATTGGATTAACTAGCTAACGCCTCAAGATATCTATGGGGCTGAGCTGTCAAAAAGTCCTATTAAACAAGATCTAGTGGACTTCGTAATTACGTAGGCCCTCGTGTAACAAAAGAAAGAAGCAACTAGATTAGACACAGACTCCGAATCATACTGACTTCGATGCTACTCATAGGTAAGGGTGATTATGCAGCTTCAGATTTCGGTTTCTCTGTTGTCATAACTGATATCAGCTGTGGTCAGATCAAACATCTGGAATGCTAATATGTGGAAATTTGTACACTCAGCACCCCTAGGACCAGAATTCAAAAAACGGCATGAAAAATGTTCAGGAATTTTTACACGGAGTTTCCTACACCGTACAATAAGATTACAGCAGGGAATCCTGAAAACCCTGTAGATCACTGGAAAACCAAAAGAACGCCACAGTAAATCTAGTCTTCGAAACAGACACGAAACAGAAGTTCAAGAACTACTGACCAAAAAAGGAAACCTGCAGGGTTTTCTAGATGTTTGGAACGGATATTCGGAAGAAATAGTCGAAGTATCAGACTGAAAACTGGGCTCCATAAAAGCAGCACTGCACCATAACAGACTATTAAAATCTCTGAAAGATGGCAGTCAGATACTTTTTCCTTCTTCATGCATCGTATGAGCTGTAATGTACATGCTCTCCTGAACGAAGTTTGTACGCAGTTCATTTTGTTGTTCCCTGAGTTATTTACTTCTGTAGTTGATAGTTAAACCTGTGCGGCTTGACTTCCGATATATTTAAGTCTCCAATTTTCTGCTGGTCAATGCATCCAAGAATGATACTTTGTTGTTACACACGTCAACAAAGACGTTTCTGATCAGGCTATAGGTGCTCTCCAGGTCGTTTCTCTCGATGATAACGAGTGTGACATTTGCATAAAGGTGCAGAGAACAAAAACCGTGATTTAACATCTCACTGTCAAATTACTTGACGAAAAGTTTCATCTGGTATGAACTCATTTTCATTGACTTCCAAAACAAACACTATCCGAGGAGACGGAAAAAGAACAAGTTATTTGTTGAAGGATTTACAACTTCCTCAGAGAAAGGAACACGTTGCCTTTAAAAGTGATTGATGTTCCATCTGTCGACGCATACAAATAGAAAACGGATTAACAGAGAGATAATAATTGCTATGACTAGCACAAGTCACATAGTCTTCCATTCTTTCCGAACTATCTGAACAACTGCTCATTGACTGTGATTACTCTCTGTTTTTTTAGGCTGTATAAAGCTACTTGGTTTCTGGTAAACCTGGGATAGTCTTTTGAGAAACCTTATGTCAAAAATCCCCTATCACCAACATAATGGTACTAAAAAGCTATGTAAAGTTTCAGAGTGATAGCTTCATTTTGCACATATGTGAACGGACTTAAAAGAAATCCTTTATCGTCTACTTTATTATCAGTATGCATTAGAAACCAATAGGAGTATTCAGCTATATTTATGCCGCTTTTGCTTTTTGTGTCCCCTTGGTTTAATTCGTATTTTTTGTGCGAGTAAATAATTGGCACAGCCGAGCAGTTTAGAGGTAGATTAAAGGTTATTCAATTAATTATGCTTCAAATGATTACCGAAAAGAAAGTTTGCTGAAATACTTGGCCGAATATAAGGACAAACAAAAGTGTTGCAATTCTTAACGCTGAATGTCAAACCAAATGACCAACAAAGAAACATTGTGGTGGCAATGATTCCGTGAAGTTAAGAATACCATAACTGAAAAAAATTTATGTTGGCCGTTGAACACTTACAGTAGGCTGAGATCGATAAAGACCGAAAGGCTCAGTCATGGAGTAGCAGTTATTATGTTTGACCACTTGATTTATATATTAAACATACTATTTCATCCTGAATCCAAAGTGTTATGAAGACCTAAAATGCGTACTGCTGGCAGCCGCAGTAGGATAGGTCAGTACAGACTATGAAGTATTTTAGCGTGAGATCTCACAAATTCGGTAGTTACATCACAGCAGATGTGTAATTATGGAATACGACTATTGATCTAGTGGCGTAAATAAGCCCACTAATTAGCTGTCGGAATACACCCAGAATTGATAATGATTGTTAGGCAACAGCAAAGTCAGAATTTTCAGTGCGAACGTTAAAACAGTTCTCTTGTATAGAGTTGAAACTTCGAAAACTATCAAAACCATCATCCAGAAGATGCGGGTATTTATAAACAGCCGTCTATGCAAGATACTTTAAATCCGTTGGCCAGACACCGTCAGCAACAATTGTTACAGGAAAAATGAAGACATTTGGCTGATCAAAACCTTTATATAAATATCATTAATTTCACTGTTTTTTGGGTATATTTGTTTTACTTAACTTGTGAACTTGTTTGAATTATTATTTTCGGCCATTTTGGACTCCTGTTTGTCTTGGTTTGTTCGTTTGCAGTTTTTTGCTCCAGGAACCTATAAAATTGAAGGTAATTGTAATTATTACAATTATTGTTGTTAGAACGACATTGGTCGTCTATTTGTAATTGACGAACAACATTTTGGTCGATTACTTGTGAATTAAAAATAAACTTCGGTGCCAACTTTGGAGTTTTGTTTTGTTATTGATTTGGGTTCGTGAATTGCAAATAGATCGACACACCGTACTTCTAAGGAGGAAGGAGCAAAAACTTGGACGTAACAAAAGTTCTCAAATTTTGATTCTTTTGTCGAACATTGGATATGTTGGACAATTTGGTTCCAAAGTTCTTTGATTTCAACTCTGTTGTCGTACATTGGATACGTTTGGACAATTTGGTCCAAAGGTCCTCAATGTTTGTTATTATTGGTCGTATTCGTTTGGATTAATTCACATTTACTTGGTAATCGATTTCGAACAAACGCATACAGTGGAAACCAGAATGAAAAAGCCGAATGAAAATGACGAAATGGATGGTAAAATTTCTAAAGCTGTTTGTGGTATGTTTGATTTTAATGATGATAAACGTGATGATAATAGTCTTAATAATAAGTCTTCATCTCAGTTTAGTATTTCTAGATTGAGGTTAGAAAGGGCATTACTAAGAAAGAAGAATTTGGACAGGAGACTTGAGTTAGAAGGGCAGCTTAAAATGTTAGATCTTCAAGAGGAGGTTGTTATGGCCGAATTAGAATGCAAGGTCATGGAAAACGATATGAAATCGACTTGTCATCTGCGTGCGAGACAGGGGAATTCTTCAAATGTGTTTGCACCTACCTCACAACCGGAACGTAAGAGAGTCGTTCATTGTATTAGAAAGGTATATCCTCTTGAAGACCGAGCATGTTACCCTGATGGTTTAAAATCCCTTGATGTGTATCCTAGTGAGAAGTCGATACCTGAAGCAGATAAGGTGGCCTTTTTGAGGATGACAGAGAAGAAAAAAGGCAGAAAGTTCAGGCATCAAGACGGATCCGAGGTATGTGATGGTAGAAGCTTCTTAACTGCTCGAAATGCAAGGAATGATAATTTGGATTCGATCACACAGAGGTTGATGAGTACGTTGAATATGAATAAGGATAAAACAGGTTTGACTATACGGAACGAAGCTTATGTTCTTAACCCTTCACGTAGGGTTAATTATTTGACACGACCTAGAGTTGATCTTAGGACAACAAGCGTAAATAGTAACACAGCACTTCATGTTGCTGAGCAATCAGGATGTCTGCGGGCTACTGTATCTAGTTCTGTGGAGCATCATTATATAGAAGCGGAAGATAATAGCAGCTTAGCGCGTCCTGCTGATGTTTGTTTACAGTCAACGGATGGACGGTTGTATACTAGTCCAAGTAGTCACAGCAACATCGATAGTGTTAGTGAAAGTGGCAGCAGTGGTAGATTAGCTTTAAAGCCTGCATGCCAACTATCCCGCAACTCGTCATTAACTGTGAATAGTCGGGACATCATTGTAGACAACAATAATGTCAAGGTGGAGGTGAAACCCCATGTGTCTATTAATAATGTGTTGAACTTTGCTAAGGATTGGAAATTCTCAAAGGTTTGTTTGGGTATCATTCCGGTAAGACTATATGGCCCCAAAGGATGTCTGGAAACGTACGCCCTTCTAGATAGTGGTTCAGATACCTCTATTGTATGCGAAGAGTTAATTAATCGGTTAGGTCTCAAAGGTAAGGAGACTTCAATTAAGCTGACGACTGTGAATGGAACTTCTACTTGTGAATGTCTGGAAGTAAATTTAGAGGTATTTTCATTAGATGAGCGGGGTTCTATAAAGATCAACAAGGCCTATACGACCAAGAAACTTCCGATCGATTATGCAGAAGCTTTAACCGAACCCCAGTTGAGAAAGTGGAAACATTTAAAGGACATAACTCTACCGAGGCTGCAAAGTTATCTAGTAGGAATATTGATTGGGTGTGATGCTCCAGATGCACATTGGG